TCTCCTCTTTTCTGAGAAAATCAAATCCTAGGCAGAATTCTGAAGTGAGCAATATTGTCATGTCAGACCTCTCCCTTTTCCTAAGCACACCTTTTCTTGTTCATTTTTTCCCACAGCACCTGGCACTCAGTGCCTTGCTGAATTGGACTGAAGCGCACTTTGGTGTGCCCAAATGTAAACATAACCAGCAATCTCTCCTGGTAGATGCTGCTAACAAGGGAGGGAAAGAAAGCTGCCTGGTCAGACCTTTTGCTTGGTGTGTTCTGTGACTCCCTCAAAATGTATAGAGAACGCAGATGAAAAAAGGAATAGTAATACACAGGCTGCAAGCCTAAGCAGGCAGCATCACACAGTTAATGTAAGAAGAGCAGAAGTAGTGTTTGAAGAGATTTTGAAGAGTAATCCAGAGAAGTTGGATGACGAAGCAAGAAAATAATGCATAAAGATTTAAGAGGGAAATAACATCAAAGATATAAAAACGGAGGATGAATTGATGAGAGTTCTCAGAATATACTTGAGGGGAAAAAATCATTTTTTTAAATAGGGAATGAAATAAAAGAAACATGATAAATGAACAAGAATGTTTAAATAGTTCCAGGTGTTGATCATCTTATGTGTGCATCAGTTATACATGTTTCCTACCAGCAGATGTATAGGACCGTAGATACAGAGGCTTTTTCCATGGTTCTGTGGAATTAAAAGGTAAATATAGTCGGCCCTCCATATCCATGGGATCTGCATCCATGGATTTCCGAAACTGAGGATTGAAAATATTTGGGAAAAAATGATGGTTGCCTCTGTACTGAACAGGTACAGACTTTTTTTTCTTGTCATCATTCCCTTAGCAGTGCAGTATAACAACTGTTTACATTGTACTAGGTATTATAAGTAATCTAGAGATGATTTAAAATATATGGGAGGATAACAAAGGAAAAAGAAAAAAAACAAAGGGTGAAGTATAGGGGATGATGTGTGTAGGTTATATGCAAATACTATGCCATTTTATATCAGAGAATTGAGCATCCGTGGATTTTGGTACCCTCAGGGAACCCTGGAACCAATTCTCCATGGATACTGAGGGACAACTGTGTAATCAAAGAACAGCAACAGTGAAAGGAAAGGCTGTATCTACTTTCTTTGCATTTCCTCCTCACTTAATGTAGGACCCCACCTGGGCTAGACTCTGAGCTTGGGCTTCCTGTTCCCCTGGCTCCAGGAGATCTGCCCAGATCAGCAGATGCCCTCAAAATAAAAGTGGCTTTACTGCTCCAGTCCCGAGAATCTCTTGAGATCCTGCTTTTCCTTAGATTTTGACTGGGAAAAAATATGGTGGGTGAATCAAACTTTACCTTTTATCTGCTGAAGACTTAAAAAAAAAAAAGTAGAAAATGCTCCACTGAAGAAAGACCTAAAAATGGAAAGGAATGGCCCAAGTAAAGGACATGGTGAAAATTTCTTCCATGGAAACAACACCACCTAGAAAGGATAACCAGGAATTTTGTATAGAAAGAAATGTCAACGGACTAACCATAAAGTTGATATGTTCAAAGATGAGATTAATAATTTTAATAGGCTGCAGCTGTGGGATATTTAGGGCACACTAGGAATATAGTTTGAAGTATTTTATGTAACTATTTGTTAAGACTCTTTCACAGAACTACTGAGTGATTAGAAGCTGAACACAAAAGATTGATTTCACTTACATGAAATTCTAGAATAACGAAAATTGATCTGTAATGATAGAAATCAGATCAGTGGTTGGGACAGGTGATTAACTGCAAAGGGGAATGAGGGAACTTTCTGGGGAGATGTAAATGTTCTGTATCTTGATTAGGACAGGGTGCTGGTAATACGATTGTATTCATTTGTCCAAACTCTGACCTGTAAACTTAACATGGGTGCATAAAGTCTAAAGTCATTTTTCTTGGACTCTTTATTTATATGAAACAAAAATTCAGCAGTATAATTACCCGTGTCTCCCTTTCTGAGCATTTTTTAAGTAAAAGTAGAATACAGATTACTGGGAAGATGATATTGTCCAGGGAACAGGAACTGATCTAAGAAGAATGTGGCTACCAAACATGTTTTGAGAAATGCTGCTACAGCCCGTCTAGCCGTGGCATATGTTGTTAAACTCAGGTCCTGTAGAGATCCAAATCTCATGTAATCTGTCCCTCTTACATATTTTTGGTGAGAAATCTTATTGCTAATAAAATACTCAGATCCTCTTGTATTTGTTTTTAATAAACTGATTAGGTGGTTTGAAAATTAAGTTGAGGCTAGAGATTTCAGGAACTTTGAATTACATAAGGGGAAAAGAAAGGTTTTCATGTGAATGAAGTTGGAAATGACAAGTCATATCCAACAGTGCACTCTATGTTCTGTTTCTCCTCTTCATTCCCACAAGGAGCAATTACCAAATAATTTACATTTGTAAGACTTCAGTAGCAAAGAATGCTTATTGCTAGGATGATGAATATGTAGCTCTTTTTTAAAATATTATCTTATTTTAAAAGATTAATATTCATGCTGAAAAAAATGTTATGATGAAAATTTTATAAAAACTTATGCATCACTAGACCAGGATTAACATCCTTGAATAATCCATCATCTACTAAGACTGTTGGGCCAACATATCAATTGCAGCTAATCCATTTCATTTACCAAAAGAAAAGAGAAAAATTCCTAAAATGTATTCTGAATCAACATATCCTCTACCAACTTCCACCCCTTTGGTAATGGGAGTTAATTGTAACTCCCTGACAGGTAGTACAGACTCACCAAAGTCTCAGCATCCAGTCCCCAGGAACACTGAGGCAGATGTCTGTTTCCTCTAATGGCAGCACTACCTCTAATGCTCTGTGTGTCTGTGTCTCTGTTCAGAATTCTATTAAGTGTTCCTTGGTAGTACCACTCCAGGGTGAGGACCACTGCAGGCAACGTTCTTAGACCACTGGCCTCACTCCTGTATCCTTCCCTGCTTTCCTAAGAAGATCTGAGTGTAGGAAAAAGGAAATTATATATTTGAGTAAAAGCACTTGCTTTAACTATGGCAACCTAGAAAATGGCCAAAGGTTCAAAACTAAATATTACCCATTATTTATGTTTGAAAGTCCTCAGAGAAGAGTTTCCATGGGATGAAGTTGTTCTTCGCAGCTACTGACTTCCTGGTATAGTTATTAGAGGATGAAAATTAAAGTAATAATAAGACTTAGGTTTCAGATAAAGCCAGTCAGCATCTCTGTGGTGTTAACAGTATAAGTATAATCTGGGAACCAACAAGAACACTAAAGATCCGTGAACTCATTTTTAATTTACCTTGCATAAATAAAAGTAGAAGTTTTGTTTGCTTGGTAGGGTTTGGTTTTGTTTTAATTTTGGCAATAAGCATAGTTATAATTCAGTTATCAGTCCTTGATCTTAATAAGCAGGCCTAGCAGGAGCTCTTTACTTTTTAAGGAATAAAAGTGACAAGGAAAGTTCTAGCAAGAAGGTGTGATGAGCTACTTTATCACTATAGCTCATCACCTAAAAGAAGGGGCAACCTTCATTTGTGTAACTTTAACTCTGTAGTGATCAGTATTACCAAACGAATCCACAGAAATAGTCCCTTGCTTAATGTTTAGACATTTGCTGTTTTCTAATTATAAAAGTAACACATGAGAGAGGCAGTAGAGCATACGGGCTGAGAACACTCACTGGCTTTAGATCTGGAGATGAATCCACAGAAATAGTCCCTTGCTTAATGTTTAGACATTTGCTGTTTTCTAATTATAAAAGTTACACATGAGAGAGGCAGTAGAGCATACGGGCTGAGAACACTCACTGGCTTTAGATCTGGAGAGGCCCCAGCACCCACACATACTTGGCCAGTCATAGCTATGTGACTGAAACTCTCTAAGCTTCAGTTTCTTTATCTATAAAATGAGGAGAAATTATGGGACCTACCATAGAAGTTTGATGTGGAGTTAAATAAAATGATGTCAGTAAGATACTTAGAACAGGGCATGACTTAAGAAAGGGGGTTAAAAAAAAGGAAGAAAATCAAAATGACTAGTAAACCATAAGCCACTGTTAACATTTTCATATATATACACACACATACACACACACATACAAATTTACAAAACTGGGATCGTATTTTGTATGCAATTATATCCTGCTTAGTTTTTTCCACAGATCTTTATATTTCTCTTGACATTAAAATTTACTGAAAACAGATTTTCATGGCCCCATAATATTGTGACATATGACTCTATGTAATTATTTAGTCATTATCTCCTTATGAGATATTCAACTTATTTTTAATATTTTACTATTATAAATATTGCTACTTTAAGAGTCGAGTTAATAAGTTAAAGGTTAAAGAGCTTGCAAAAACTTGAAACTTCTGAAACTTTTTTTTTCTTTTTGCACATTTTTATGTTTGTTGATCACTGGCATTATTTCAGTGAAATGCGTTTTAGTGAATGAATGCAACTTGCAAAGTTTTTTTTTTTTTTTTTTTTTTTTTTTTTTTTTGTCTTTTTTCGTGTCCGGCAACGGATCGCAACCCTCAGTGTCACGCCCGTACCGGACCGGGACCGGCAACGGAATCGCAACCCTCGGTGCTGCGCCCACACCTCGCTCAGCCAGTGAGCGGGAACCGGTCTGTATGTGGGATCCGAACCCTCGGCGGGAGCGCCGCTGCGCTCTCAAGCAGCGCACTGTAGCAGTGCGCCACCGGGCCGGCCCCAAGCAAAGTTTTTTATATAGGCTCTCCGGTGTCTGGAATAATGCCAGGGACATAATAAGCACCCAGTAAATACTTGGCGTGATGAATGATGAATGAATGGCAAGAATATTAACACTTTGTCTATCATATTTCTTTCAAAGGGGGTCAAGCATTAGAAAACTTTTGCCTCTATAGATACAAAAATAATGCTATCTTTATTTGTAGTCTTTATTTTTTTCCTAATTTCCTAATTTTTTCAATTTTTTTCTTCTCCCACAGTTCATCCATGAGCTCGGATTTCCCACATTACAACTTCAGGATGCCTAATATTGGATTCCAGAATCTGCCTCTCAACATATATATTGTGGTTTTTGGGACTGCTATATTTGTATTCATCCTTAGTTTACTCTTCTGTTGCTACTTGATTAGGTAATCAATTTTCATTCTATCTTACTTCAGAATATATTAAACAATAATAAATCAAGTGTCTACCCTCAGATTTAAAATTTTTTTATAAGTATTATAATTGGCAAATTTTCTAAAAATTAAAGTAGCCTAACATTTTAATCTTCTGTGAGGTAATAATCAGTAAAATAACTCTATACAATCTTTAATCCTATCTGCTGTTGGAATGTTTCACTCTATGGGAGAAAATTGTCCTCATTTGTTTTTCCACCTTATTAGCACCTGGTCTACACTTACTCATTGTCTGTCCCCAAGATTTAATCTACTTTCACAGAGATTTCAAAATTGCTTTTCAAAAAAAAAAAAATTGCTTTTCAAGAGGGTGTTGCATCATTGTTAGCTAAAGACCTTAGGGATCAGAAAACAATGTCCAAGATAAGTTCAAAGCCTGTAAAAAAACTTCTTATGGTCTATCAAGATTTTAAGCTTCCATTTGTTGTCAGACTAGTCAGATGTTCAGGTGATTGGTTATCTGCATAAAACACTAAATATTCCACAGGCCCTGCAGCAAATGTACAGACAAGTGATGAAGGATAACATCTCACCTGAGGGGATGATGGATTTAGCCAGTAAAGATTCATGACTGAATCACTCGTAACTACTTAAGCAAGCATTTTAACTTTTTTTATGTTTTTAAATAGGGCCTAATTTTCAAAGCCAAAACTGAGACTATAAAAAATTTTATATGGTAATGTTCAAAGAGCTTTGTGGAGTAAGAGAGTAGAAAATTGAATTTTATTAAGCAGCTGTACATATAATAGTTATTAGTGTATGCACAATATATGATTATGGTTCAGATAAATACCATCATCAGATGTCTGTCTCAGTAATTCGTTAATTGCCAGCAGTGTTTTGGAGCATTAGACTGATGGTCAAATTCAAATGAATTTAGTGTGTAGTTTCTGATATTCTGACAAGTAAGTTTACTTCATCTTAGAAAGTGAGTCTTTTCTGAAGTTCTCACAAAATGCAGTTGCTCCTTATATCTCATAGATGTGTTGGTTGCTTGTGATTTTTAGGTCTTGCTCAGAGAAATAAATTTAAATACTTGAGATTAATATAGTCTTCAGGAAAAACTTTTTTTAAAATCTGCTTATTTCCAGAAATTCTCCTTTTTCTAACATTTTTTTAATAGAGTAGTCCCCCTTTATCAACAGGGGATAGATTCCAAGACCCCCAATGGATGCCTGAAACCACACATAGTACTGAACCCTATATATGCTGGTTTTTTCCTATACGTACATACCTATGATAAAGTTTAATTTATAAATTAGACACAGCAAGAGGTTAACAATAATAACTAATAATAAAATAGAACAATTATAACAATATACTGTAATAAAAGTTATGTGTTTATTTCCAGAATTTTTTATTTAATATTTTTGGACAACCATTGACCACAGGTAACTGGAACTGCAGAAAAGGAAACCACAGATAAGGGAGAACTACTGCAACAGTTTCATAAATGTCATATAAATATTCCGCATTTTTTTAAATTAGAGAATTAACCATAGCATAAGCAGGACCTCAGAACATTACAATATGTTCTTTTTTTCAGACCTATTAGATATTTTTTGTAATTCCTCTACAAATGGTGGTTTAACTCAGAAATTTGTGAATTTAATATTCAAAACCACATTATTTTTAAAAAGAGACAAAAATTAATACAAAAATATAACAAAATGTAAAAAAGGAAAATGTTTGTGTTATCATATATAAAAATTTAATTCTAAAATATATAGCTCACAGTATATTTTTTATTACTATGTCAAAGAATTGAGCCTTTAACTTTTTTTTTAAAGAAAAACATTACTATACCAATTGTGATTTGGGGTAAATTTTTTGAGAAATGAGTTATGAAACTCCATTTTTCCTCATTGTATTCCTTTAAATAGTCAAGTAAATAAGATAAAGAAAAAATGATTGCATTTGTTTTCATGCATTATCATTGTACTTCACTTTATCTTTCTTGTATCCTTTTTTTAAAATAAAATTATCATGTTTAATCAGAAAAGCCAATCATACTCAAACATTTCTAAACTCATTTACTAGTTATTGGTACCATTTTGAAAATTTAATCATGATGTAAGGAGCTTTTCTGTCTGATAATCCTAATTTGTTACCTTTAACCCTTCAAATGGTAAACTTGGATTTAACAAGCCTTTACAGTTAATCTGAAGATCCATGGATTCAGCTCCTCCAAAATTACCCAGGCTATTTTTGAGCATCACCTAAGCTCTCCAACACCTTCCCAGGAGAATCTTCTGTTCTCATGTAGAGAGCTCCCTCCAGTCATAGCCAGACTCATCACAACCATAGGAGGAACACATCTTAGGTGTAAATGAAATACCCACCACCAACCACAATATTACACAACATTGTAGTATTGAATCTGCTGACTGTGATAGGGCTACGAACAGGGCACTACTGGAGCACAAAAGAAGGACATCTTAACTTGCTAAGAGAGATCTTATTTTATAATCAATCATATAATATTCTAATTTATGTTTGTTATTCCTCTTTCTTCCCAGATGGATATTTATTGTTTGCTGTATCTCAAACACCTAGAACAGTGCTTAGCACAATGTTAGGTACTCACTAAATATTTCTTGGGTGAATAAGTGAATGGTTTCCTTGGTAGGAAGTCATTAGATATGCCTAAAACTGAAAAATCAAGAAGTAGCAATACAAGCAAATTATTTAGAAACATAGAAGTAAATATAAAAATAATGAGCTAAAAGGGGAGAGAGTGGTTATTCTGGGGAAGGGGGCAGAGGACTACTGAATTTTTGTTACTAACACTGTAGAACTACATATGACTGAAATATGTACCTATATAACAAATAAAATTAAAAACTAAAAATAGAGGGAAACTTGGGGGTTAATATTAATTATGAGGTCTTGAACCAAAATAATGAAAGCACGGCTAGAGAAGATGTCACAGTTATGAGAAATATTTGAGAGGTGAAAATAAACGGAAATTAGTGACTAGACATTAAAGACAAAAAAGAGATGAGTTTAGAATCTCTCTTGGACTACTGGCTTAGGCAGCTGGGTAGATAGCAATTACTTCACAGCGATAGGAAATGCATGGGCAAGTTTTGGGTGAAAGGATGATAGATTCCATTTCAGACATGGGGGGACTGAGTTCCCTGTGTAACAGATGAGATGTCTAGTATACAGATATATAGGTCTAAAGCTTGTGAGAAGTCTGGTCTTGAGATATGAGATTGTGTAATAATAGGTAGAAACTGAAGCCAGGGTTATCCCCTAGAAAGAACATGTATAGTAAAATCAAATGGGTTTAGGACAGAATCCTAGGGGAACATTGATATTTAACAGGAACCCATAAAAGAAACTGGGAAGAGATAGCAAGAGATAAGAGGAAAATCATGAGAGAGGTGCCCGACAAGTAAGGTTGCAGCGGATACAGTCAGTTATGTCAGCTACTCCCAAGGAGGCCCAGTAAGATAAAAATTGAAAAGTTCCCATTACATTTGACAATTAGGTTTGTATCCCTAATCTTCCTTAGAAGAGTTTCAGTAGCATGGGATAGGGGGATGGTGAGGCTATAATGAGGCAAAGCCTGACTAGCAGGTGAAAATGGATGTAAGGAATATAACCTCCTCTTTGAAGAATCTTGGCTGAGAAAAGATTAGGTTGTGGGGAGAGGAAGTTGCTGTAGAATCAAGGAAGTATTTTGGTGTTTGGCTTTTTTTAAGATAGAGATGTAGGCATAATATTAAGAATAAGCCAATTGTGGAGGATTTGTGAGAAAGAATAAATCATGGAGGTGAGAAGAGACACACCTAAGAGATATAGCAGTATTAGTCCTGAGCAGGAGCATATCTTCTCCTAAGAAAGAGATGAGGGTAACTGTAGAGAACAATACACATGTAGGTATATGGATCTGGGAATGAAAGAACTTAAATACCTGACAACCCTCTTTCTCTGTGGAGTAGAAAATTGACTGTTGAAGATGATAGGGTAGGAGATAGTAGGGTAAAGTTTGAAGAGAGTGGCAGGGTTTGAAACAGCCACTACCTGAAAGCTTAGGATACTGAGCATGAATGGATAGAAGGATTAGAGAACAATGTGGAGAGTCAGGCTGAGTATGGAGACCACAAATTTGTAGTGCCCATAGGCTTGCATGGTTTTATCATTTTCTCCAGCACTGTCCAGCATTGTTAACCATGCCCTCTTAGATACTTCTACATATCTATTTAGCAAAGATAAAATAGTGCAATGTAAAGTATTAGGTAATTAATGAGACATACAGTAAAGGAGTAATCAGTAGGGTGAAGCCAATTTAAGGGAGCACTCCCTAGAAGGGATGAATTTTGAGACACAGACTGAAGAAAATATTTTGGTCCATGCTGTAGCTGGAAGTAATAAGTTCTGCTTTTGGGAAATATGCAGATCCAATTGAAAAATTCAAATAAGCAAAACGAAGTTACAAATCAAGGCTCATTTTAGTGAATTCTAACAGAGTGCATTTTATTTCTTTATATAAAAATGTACTCCTCTAAAATAAGCAGACAAAAACCAGTAAGGATAGAGATGATTTGAACCACCCAATTAATAAATTTGACTTAAGATAAATTTACAGTTTATTCATTTAGGCAGCCAGCCAGAATGGGGATCCAAACCCCTGACCTTGGTGTTGTAAGACCGCACTCTAATCAACTGAGCTAACCAGCCAGCCTGAAATTTATAGTTTTAAATTCATGTATTAGGCAAGAAAAATTGAAAACCAATGATCTAAGATTTCCTTTCATTGAGTGTAAAAAAAAAAAAAAAAGCCAATTAAACCCAAAAGCAAGTAGAAGGAAGAAAATTAAAAATCTAAGCACAGATATCAGTAAAATAGAAAACAAATGTGTAATAGAGCAAATCATTGAAACCAAAAGCTGGTTCTTTGGAAAGAGTAATAAAATTGATGAATCTCTAGAAAAACTAATCAA